GGAGTGAGGATCTGTCTCATGCCGCATCAGACAGACGCTCGATTTTTCTTTCCTTCGCGGAAGACGACGAGCCTTGTCATGGATTTTAACCCTCAGGCTCAAGCCCAAAAGCCTTTCATAGTATGGTCTTTAGGCCCAAATGGCTTAACATATGAGTCCTCAGAGCCTTCGGGTAATAGGTTCGATGCCATTGAGTTCTATATTAGCGGAGGTAGCTTGAGTGTAATGATATTTCCTCAGCGTCCCTGGAAGGATTCTTAGGTCTTACAGCTCACATACTACAGGATCCCAGCTAGCTCATGTTCAGGGAGGGGTGGCTGGCTTGCCCGAAATTGCAGCGGCTTGGAATGCTCTTGCTGTGGCCGTGTTGCCGATGTTTCGGTTTTGGTAATCCAAACAAGCATTGCGAACAGACATGGAGCAGGATTGGCAGCATTGCACTTTGTTCGAATAATGACTTAATGGAAGTCGGGATATCCGAATTTGAATAAACATAGTGTCCGCTTTAGGGGCTTAGATTCGAGATTAGATTCGGGGTGTCAAGGCAGTGGAGAAGGCATGTGGCACCACTAGTCTTTTGGCGAAGCTTGCTTTAATTTCCCCCAGGTGCAGAAGTCTACCATGCATCAGTGAATTCAACGCAACGCGCCGCGGTGCCCACGCCCCAGCAATGAGGGTTCAGTGTTTAGGGGTTTAAGGGCAGGGTTGGAGACTCGGGACACAGAATGCGAATCGTAATTACATGTGTCCGATTATCCTGCTGAGGCAACAACGGTGGAAGCCAGATCCTCAGTTCATGAGGGCCTGGATGAAGAAAATTGAAATTGAACATCATTGAACGTAATTCTGACTAACTACCATGCAGGACGATTCCTTAGGGTTCCGATTCTACGTGCAGCGTAGAAATCCCCAACAGACTATTCTACTCATTATGAAGGCTCAAGGCTCCTGTATTTATCGTGAAACTCTGATTTCGTGCTCGGCATCGGTCCCGGATTTTCGGCCTGAGCTTGAAAGCTGAAGAAGTTAATCATTAGGCAATCGCATTGCCTTCATTGTACTTCTACTACCACGCTTGCATACTTCTAACCGTGCATACCTCGAGGTGTGCGACTTTTGCACTAAGTCCTGAACAAAACTACTGCTACCGCTAATGCCGCTGCCACCTATGTTGCTGCGCCTGCTGCTGATTAACAATTGCTATTCGCACTGCTGTTTTTACTCGTGATCCTCCTCCTTTCCTCCTCCTCCTCCTCCTCCTCCTCCTCCTGGTCCTCCGGCTACTGCTGCTGCTCCTCCTCCATGCTCCTCCTCGTCCTTCCGTCACTGCTACGACCACCACCACTACCACCACTACCACTACCACTCCCACTACCACCCGCCACCGCAACGACTACGACTACGACGACGACTACGACCACTACCACTCGCACTACCACTACCCGCTACCACCACTACCACGATCACGACCACGACCAGGACCACGACCCTGACCGCGACCACGACTACGACGACTACCACTACCAC